AAAATTATAAAAAAATAAATCATTATAAAACATACGGAATTTTGATATAGAATCATTAATTACGTATATAAACCTTATAAAAAACGTATCATTTCCTTATTTCGATTTCTTATAGGGATGTAAAATCTAATATAATATATTTACAGATTAATCACTTTAATAAATAAACTAGCAATTGCTATTAAATATATTTTATTAATTAAAATCTAATTTATATTAGAATAATTAATGATAAACATTATAAATATTAAAAAAATAATTTAAATAAAAAATTACTATAAAATAGTTTAAAACAGATTTTTACAATTAATCATTAATAAAATTATTATTTTTTTTTATTTTAATTTCTTTACTATAGTTTGCAAATTTCATTATATTTTCTAGAATTAATTAGAATTTATAAATAATTTAATATCTGAATTTTATAAAAAAAATTAAATATAAAAAAATATTTATTTATTTATATAAAATTAAAAAAAAAATTTAATCTATTTATATAAATATATATATTTTTTTTTAAATATTTTTTTAATATATTAAAACAATATTTTATAAAATATATAAAAAATATATACATATAATATATATAATACAAATATTATTTATAAAAAAAAAAATAACTTATTTAAATACTAAAAAAGAATAATTTAAAATCTATGATTATATAAAATATTATTTGAATATATATGTATAATATATATTTTTTAGTATTTACAAAAATAAATAATAATTATATAAAAGATAATTCTAATATTATAATTAATTATTAAAATTAATAATTTTAAAATTAATAATCAAAATTTCAATCAAAATTAACAATAAAAATAAATGATTTAAAAAAAATAAACATATTATTTAAAATAATAGTTTTTTTATTATTATATAAATATGTAATTTTTCAAATTAAAAACGTTTTAATATTTATTTTAAATTACAAATAAAATTAATTAAACTTTTAACAAAAAATCAAAAAAATTTAGATTTGATTATTTAGAAATATATTAAAATTATTATATAAAAATTAAAAGATATTTTTTTATACTAATATGATTCTTTATAAATAAATAATAATATATTTAGAATTATTCTTAATATAAAAATATAAAATAAATAATAATTTATAGTAAAAAATCTTCTTTTTTTTTTATTAATAAATTCAAAGTATAATAAAAAAATTAATTTAAAAAATTAATTTACTAAAAAAAAAAAAAACCGAAAAAATAATTTTATTTTTTATATTATTTATATTATCGTTATATATAAAATTAATAGAACTTTAATCTTAAATTATAAATATTATTTAATTTATATTACTGTAATGAAAAGAAAAATAAAATTTGTCTTTATTTTTACAATAACAAAGAATTAGTAAGATTTTTTTATTTGATCCTTTATCAACTTTTTGATTTGATTTCTATGATCAGTAATGAAAGAGAAAGATTAAGGATATAAGAATTTAACTCCTTGGAACATATATAAATTTTTTTTGGATTAAGATTTGACAAACGTACGTTGCGGATCATCTTGTTATTTGTGTAATTAATTTTTATTTCAATTATAATTGCCATCTGGTATGCAGTGATAGAAAATGAAATGAATAAATTCAAACAAACATCCAGTAATCGAAAAAAGAAATCAAATAAAAAAAGAAGGAGAAAAAAAATCTGTGATCGAAAAAGTTTGAATAAATTCACGGTAATCGAAAAAAAAATGATCAAAAAAATAATAAAATTATCACGTTGCCACCTGGCATCAATGATCGAATAAATTTAACCTACCCCCTGGCACCTGGTGATCGAAAAAAATAAATTTTTTTGATCACAATGCCACCTGGCATTCAGTGATCGAAAAAGATTTGAATAAATCAATCACCTGCCACCTGGTGATCGAAAAAAGAAATGACAAAAAAAGAAAAAAAAACATCACTGCCACCTGGATTTAAAAAAAAAGGAAATGAATAAAATATATCACTTTATCACTGCACCCCGATGATTGAACATTAAAAAAAAAAGAAATCTTGCTTTAATAAAAACAATTTTTAAAAAAAAGCTAAACCATTCATTTGGCGTTATAAATTCGAAATGGCATGTCTGAAGCAAACAGTCAGATAATCAATTTGACATTATTATCTGGTTCCATACATAACACAAGGAACACGACGCGTTACTGTAGATTGTGGAGTTGGTGGATGTGGTGAAGAAGAACATGTTGGCAGAGGTGGTTGTGGTGTAGGAGATGGTGATCGTCGTTGTGGTGACGGTGGTACGTAGCAGTTGTGGTTACTGTTTCTGTCGATGTTACTGTTGTTGTTCTTGTTCTAGCTGTTCTTGCCGTTTTCGATGTTCTTGCTGTTCTCGCTGTTCTTGCTATTGCTCTTGCTGTTGCTCTTACTGTTGCTCTTACTGTTTCTGTTGCTGTTTCTGTTTCTGTTACTGTCGCTGTCGCTGTCGCTGTCGCTGTTGCTGTTGCTGTTGCTGTTGCTGTTACTGTTTCAGCTGCTATTGCTTTAAATAATGATTTAGCTTCTGCTATTGATATAGCACTTAACGAAAGGGCATTTATTTGTAGGAATTCTTTGACAGTTTCGTTATTTTCGTTATTATCCGACATTATGAAAGAGGAACCAATTTTTTTTTCTCTTTTATTTTTTTTTTTTTTGCAAATGAAAGATATGCATTAATCATGATAAAAAAGGTAATTAAATTCAAGAAAATTCTTTTTTTGGCATTATATCATTCACAAACCAGCCGCAATTCCTTTTACTGGTAAATTACTTCGTTTTTTAAATTACATTCGGTCTCTATCAACGCGTATCTACCATCAAAAAGTTCATAAACAAAAACTTGAACTGATCGGCTAATTCCATTTTCGCGTAAAAAAAATTTTGTATGATCACTTTAACTCATCTAATTTCTTAATAAATTCTGTTGAAGGAATAATTTCCATAAAAAATTTATTTCTAATCTTTAACGTTAAAATATATTTTTAAAAAGCGAAGAAATCCATTTCAAATACAAGGACGTTATTTTCTTTGGGATCGTATTTTGGAAGAGTACGCGTCATTTGTTTTGTTGTTGATGATTATGAAGTTCCAGAAATTAAATTTTGAAATCGAGAGAAAATTGTGATCCTTATAATTTAAACTTTTTTATTCACAAATATCATAACCAAACGTGTAGAAAAAATTAAACATTTCTGCGTAACCTTTATTTTTCAATGATATTTTTAATTTTGAAATTGAGAAAATAAAACGGAATTTCTTTTTGAGAAATTTGTACGAATTGACCTAAATATTAACGTGCTGAATAATAATTTCCATAAATTTTACATCCAAGTGAATTGGCTTACATTCGATCTTTTGATATCGAAGGTTTTCTTTGAAACCTTTGGTGTCCACGGCGTAGCAATCTTCTTTGCTGCGGATGAATGATAAAAAGAATAAAAATCAAACGTCATGGCTTACATCATTGATCATCACAATTCAAAAGACATCTTTCCGATATTAGATTGGGCGAATTTTGATGATAAAATTTTCACGATAATCAACCATGAAATTACGTTTATATAAACATTACATTAACGAGGGTAAAAACCAAATATACGAATAGTCAAGAAAATAGTCAACATTGTCATAGTGATGTATACTGTTCCATTTAGACCGATTTCTTGAAGTTTCTTCAAGGTTTGCATCATTAATGCGTTGACGTTTTTTTGTATATAAATACGAATGAATCGTAAACTTTCTTTTTGTGAAATCAATCAAAAAAAAATAAAAATAAAAATAAAAAATGAGCAATCAAGATTATTCAACAGAGGAAGGTGCCGTTAAGGATGAATTCTACATAAAAAATATAGAGCACGGAGATGAAGAGTATGATCCTAGGCCAGATTATGATGTTAGCGGTTTGTAAAACAATTATTTTTTTTAAAAAAAAAATTGAATGAAAATTCATTAATTTGACTTTCGTAAATATTAAAGAACCCGTGGACATGAATCCAAATCAACTTCCACCACATAAATTACGTGATTCCACTGAGGCTATCTCCCAGACCGAAGGATTTTACAATGAAGGTGAAGATACGGGTCCTTCTATAGAAGGTGAATCAGATACTTCAAGAAAATTGTAAGTAGCATTCACAGACTTGTCTCTTGTTGAATGTGATTGTTTTTAAAGATTTATGACCGTGTTTAAAATTATTATAGATCCTCGCTTGTTGCGGCCTCTCATCGAGAAGAAAGAAGGCCGGAGGATAAACAAAAAAGCGCGATGAAGGCATCCGAATTACATGAAAACATCACTGGTCACCCCTTGGAAATTAACGATCGTAAGATTAATTATATTCTTGGAGTAATTTTAATTTTTTTATGCAAAACTAATTAAATTGTTTGCATTCTTTCAATAAATTACTTAGAAGGAGAAGTAGTTACCGAAACCTTATAGTTTAGTGAATTTAGCGCGAATTCATTTGTAAGATTCCGATGAGATACCTTTCACGTGTTCAATCAATTAAATAGTTATTAGTTTATACATATGCAAAAAAATAATAAAAATATACGTTTTTTTATAACCAGAACGTAAAAAATGACGTTTATAGTGTTGGTGTATTATTATGGGAGATTTCAAGAGGGTGAAATTGGTTTGGCTTTAGATATTATTCAAGGACGATGACGAATCATTAACCGAAAAAAAAATTGATTATTCTGGTATAACAAATCGATTTTCATATATTTATTTTTTATATGCAGTTTGTCATGTGTTATTTTCATTTTAAATATTTATAATGTGTATATGGAAATAGATATACATCAAAATGAACAAATTTGGAAATGCAATTCAAATTCTACATTTTATTTATTTTTTTTTACATTTATAAAAAAAAACAAAATAAAATTCGTATTATGTATGTGTTGATAAATGATTTGTCGGTTTAAATTTGAGTCTATAAGTTGACCAATTAAAATTTGTCACGAGAATATCTATTAAGATGTAAGAAAGAAAATATGTAAGAGTATGAAAATAAAATAGTTAAACATAATGTTTGAAATTGGATCTTTTTTTCAAGCGTTAATTATAATGAGAAAAAAGTTAATGTGGTTTATTTGGTATTTGTTATACCACTAAAACATACTTCCTGTCGAATTTCTGATTGACGGCTATAAGTTTTACTTGTGTACCGTCTTCAATATTATTCCATGGGGTTGGGTTATTTTTTCTAATAGAAAAGGATGATTGATTTCATTTGAGTAAATGAAATTTTGTTTCTTTTTTTATATTTAAAAAACTTACTTGTCCCAAATGACCTCGGGTCCTCGGGCAAGTCGGGTTAGATACCAGCTCGCACCAACTACAGCTACACCCTATTATCAACAAACAAAACATTTATTAGAGTAAATAAATACGATTTGACTTCCCATGATCAATACATACAGTAACAGCATAGATTGGGATAATTTCAGCTCGGAACCAATTTTTCATGAAAGAGTTTCTTGCTGCGGCGGTGGCTGACATTTTGATAATGAAGTTTTGAGTGGGTTTAAAAAAAAAGATTGAGAAATTCGACAAGAAGTATATAAAGGATTTTTTTTTTTTGAAAATTTTTTTTTGAACAGAGCGAAATATGAGATCAATTTAAATACATTTTTTTTTTTTTACGATACACCGGAGAAATTCGCCGTCCACGGCAATAAACGGGTGTAAAAAAAAATTTTTTTAATTAAATGATGCAAAAAAAAACCCGGGTCGCATTTATTTTCAGAAACCTGTCAGATTTTATTGACATGAGAATTAGGGGTGATATTATCATTTCGCATGATACATTTAAAAGAATATTAATAGGGATAATGATTGACCAATCATTCATTATACATATGGCGTTGTATATACTGTACTTGTCAACGGAAAAAAAAAAAAGCCCAAAAGTAACACGACCAAAACAACCGAAACAACCGAGCATCAATTGATGCGGGAACCAATACAACGTAATGTGTGTGACGGTAAGTTTTCCCACTAAGTCGAATAATATTTTCTTTTTGTGACATTTAAAAGTCTCGGATCAAAACGTTTTAAACAAAGAATTTTTTTTTTTGATGCTTTCAAACATCTAAAATTTCTTAAATCTTTCATCTATGATAGAAAATTCTTTCATGAATCTCAATAAATACATTTGGGATTTTTTCGGCCATCACCACAAATTCTTGGCGTACCACGTAATAATGTTATTTTAAGAAATGATTTTTTAATTATCTGTTTTTGCCAGGTTTCACGTGATCGAAAATTTGAAACCCTTTTATTAAGGGTATTAGGTAATATTATAGGGGGTCAAAGTATATACTGTATTACTATAATGTAAATATTTAAATTTATATATTATCTGATGAATAAAAAAAGATAATATAAATTTAAATTTAAATAAATTTAAAAAAAGGAGTTGAACTGTTTTAAATTAAAAATAATAAATCATAAAAAAATAATATATAAAATTATATAAGTTTTAAAGCAAATTTGCTTATAATTATAATTTTATTTTTAAATTTAACTTTTTAAAAAAATTCTCATTCTTCAATCAAAAATTTTTTGATTGTTTCTTTATATTTATCGAGTATTAAATATATCAAAGTATTTAGAAAATTTTTGTGAATTTTATAACAATGTTCTAAAAAAATTAAGTTAAATATATGGGAGGTTTGCTAGCAAAATGGGACTCTAAGACTAAAAAATTTTTTTGAATAAATTAAAAAATCAAAATAAACAAAAAACTAGCTTTAAATT